TTGCACACTATAAACTACAGGTTCAAACAAAATCAAAGATCACACTTGACCAAATTCAAGAGTTTTGTGTTCTTTATAATTAAATATATATAACATTATGCATTTATTATTATCTTATCTTTGATATTTGTTATTTTTAGGTGTTTGATAAGTTTCATTTATTAGACTGTTCAGAGTTTTACTGGTTGTTGTGTACATGCGTACAATCATTTTGACAACTTAGCCCTCTCCAATGTTAGATAAATATTAGTATAAATGAAAAGCTTGACTTGAAAATGTTCAAAGCTTGCAAAGTTGATTTACTACTAAAAGAAGCCAAATTGAAAAAATATGACTTTGAGATTTCATTTGGCATTGCTAACTTCTCTGTATTAGTAAAAAAATAAAAGTGGCTATAAGATTATTTATTGCAGAAGGAGATAAAAACGAACCCACCACCCACCTACAAAACTAACAAAAGTACCTCAACTTCAAGTGACAGTAATTGGGTATTCTGCTATCATTGAAAATTTTGGACTTCGTCAAGTATGGGCTCACTGACAAACTTAGAATATGGACAAGTCAGATTTCACCAGAATCAGAACTTCATATCATACCGGTCAAGGCATTTCTATCATGGATAACAAAAACTGTGGAAGTCTCTTCCAACCTACCTGAGCAGCTGGGTCCATCCCAGTATTCAACACAGGAACAAGAACAGGTGGCGAGGTCAAGCGTGCCGTTATTGCTGCATGACAGTGTACATTCTGCAAAAAAGAGAACAACAGAGTGTCCAGACTGTGGGAGTCACTGGGTGCCATCTTTGGAGGCCCACAGGCATGCTAGATACTGACAGGAAGGACTTCAAATTTCAGTCGCATTGGGCGGTAGTATCATAGGTATTACAAGCCATTTCATTTGGGCTAATGAAGGTTTTGGCGTTTTACAGCTGGTGTACAGATCAGTAGGTTGGAAAGACTGGAACCTCCAGGCAGCCAACAACCAGGCACTAACACCAAAGACTTTCTCATTTGAATATTCTCTCATGAACATTATCCTACAATATACACTTAATATGAAACAAATGTATAGTTGTAGTACCATTCAAAACTGCAGTTGGATGACAAACAGAATCACATTTCGAGGCAGTGTGAATGAACATGGGCTGTTTTTGACATGCAATCGGATTGTAGTTTAAATTGTCATTACCCCTTATTAAAGAGGAACATCATTTGGCACATGGATGCTAACTGTGATCAAATGTTCTCCCCCCATCCAAAAAAAATCCATGATAACCTGTCCATGGCTAATCATTCTGTGAATCACTCCTAATCTGTTCTCAGTTTCCAAATGTGACTCCTCAAATGTCATTCACTAATGTTTCTCATTTTCTTGCTAAAGGCACAGGTGTGTACAGAGTCCATCGAAACATCTGCCCTCAATAATAATTTTTTAAAGGAACCAAGAAATAGAAATATTTTTATAAATTTTACTAAAAACCCTTGAGATTACATTTTGGGGTTTCAATTAACCTTATTTTAAATTTTTGTTTTGCAATTTTAACCCATATTTTGATGTTTTTGTTTTATGCTTATACATATTTGCATATTCGTGAGCAGAATTATGATGTCATCCAAGGCACTGAATCTCAATGTTGCGCTGATTTGTGCACAGAAAATGTCTAGATTTTTTTAACCACTGCTATGGCAGAGTTTCTTTTCTTTGCCAATTTACTGCTGTGTAAGTATATGGCAATAATGCAACAAAAATCCTTTCCACAGAAATGTTCTCAGATAGCAAATTTGGGATTCACAATTTGAACATGAAAACATTCAACGTGAACCATGTCTTCCTCGATTTAAATCAAAGCAAAAGCACCCTCACTTGTCCAGAAATGCTTGGTCAATTTTTAATGTTTGAAAAAGTGCACTGTTCAGTTCACGAAACTCAAAAGAGATGTCAAACAGTCTTCATACATGAAAGAACAGTATAGAGATACACAACAAGTGATTCTAAGAAAAATTCATTTCCTGGTTCCTTTAAATTTGGTCCAAATCTTACCCGTCTGGCAGTTGTCTCCCATGAAACCCACTGGACAGGTGCAGGTGTATCCGCGTACGTTGGCCAACATGTTGATGCAGGTAGCGCCATTCATGCAGTCATTGCCCACTTCGCAAGGTGCTGCAGAAAGGTAGTGCAAGAGCAGTAAGTATTAAAAGGGAAGATGGCCCACAGGCAATATGGTGTCAACAATAAGATGTGAATGTTCTCCCGCAATTGCCTGCGATTCTGGCAAAATCAAGTGGCAAGTCATGTGGTGTAATCTGCTTACGGATCACTTATATGCTGCCTGGCTGGGGCAGCCAAATTCTTCAGAAATATCAGCCTCATTTGGTGTTACATTTTACCTCAGAATGTATTTTTGACCTTCATTTTTCTACACTTCATGAATTATTCTTTTTGTAGTGGTCAGAATGTCGTTCTGTATTGTTTTGTTCGCAAGTGCAGTGACTTGCCTCATGGTGTTATGTGTGAGCGCTCATTCCATTCCACCATTTTATGCCGCATTGTGTGGTGAATTTCTGAGAAAATCGTCATTCTTTTGCCGTTAATTTGCGAAGACCTTGCCAGCTTAGCAAAGTGAATAGTAAATTTTAGTCTTTAGATCGATATGAACGTTGTAGGGTTTCCAGTGGATTCAGGTCATAAATTTAAGAATTTGTCATTAACCAACTTTTTTTTTTTTTACATGATTAGGACTTTCGCCTCTTTACTAATGAGGACTTTTGCCTCTTTACTAATGAGGGCGCTGGGCACATGCATATATGTGTAGCTCATTCATCTGCTCCTTTTGACCAGATTGTTATTTATTACCTTTTGAGATAGTTCAGAGCAACAGATTTAAATTTTGAACAGTTGTACCGGTGTAAGTAAGCAGGCACACATAGGATTTACATGGGGATACATCATTTAGTAGTAGTTTTGTATTTATAATTTTACATAGTGGAACCACCATCACTGTCACTACTGTCACCATTGTCACCACAGCCATTGTCACCGTCACTACCACCCCCAGCACAGCAGCTTCCTACTGTCAAACTTAACTACAACTGCTACTCTATGACGCCAGGCTGCTGTGTTTCTGCGCTATCTCTGTATCTAATTTATGTCACCTGGTCATAACTGAAAAAAAATTACAAAATCATCCGACTTCAGACTGATAGCCACCCAAGCTTGCCACATCATTCCAGGAAATAAAGTGACATTCAGTTACATGTACATGTAATGGACATTACTTGATTACTGATTCTGATGCGTGTCATTGCTGAGCCACACTGTTTGACAATCTGTAGTGCAAAAGGCTACACTTTTTCTCCTATACTGGCAGCCATCCATACATTTACCAGCCACATAGGCCAAATGAAACTGACATAGAAAGAGCAGACCCTTTGGGCTTTTTTTATAACTACAAGACCCAAAACTCCACTTGTTCGAGTTACTTGGACACTACATGTATTTGATGCCTTTAAACGGATGTTTGGAAAGTAAAAACAGAATAGTCTTTAATAAACTCTCTCATGTGCTGAAACAGGATGCAGAAACATGATCCATGCTGTGGTTCATTCCAAAAATCACTCATGTACTTCATCAGTTGCTGCCAAAAGTAAACAAATTTCAAATAGATAATGTAATACAGGAAATGCAACCTGGAGTGCAGATATGTGTGGACGTGGGTTTCCTTTCAGCTTCACTTTTACACGACAGGCAGAACATAATATGGACACCTGTATATTTTCAGCATAAGAAGAGTTTCATAGAATTTTGTCGTAAGAAAACAATGCCGCAAGTGGTTCCAAAACTAAAAAAACACATGAAAAATGACAATTTCAAAACATGCTTGTGTTATAATAAGATATGAGACATAAAGTGTCCAAAACGGGCTTCTAGAGCTATGGTTAGGTCTACTGTCTGCGTGCCCCTGGGTATTTCTAATGGAGTGAAGTCCTAGATCTAGCTCTAAATGATAGGCAACATGCAGATTCAGATTGCAGACCTATGCTTGCCCCAAAACAAGCAAAAACAGACCTTTCAAGCTTGAGGGCACTGGCAATACAACACACTAGTTGCCTGATGTCCAGAGATATGTATAAAATTCATCTTTTCTTTGCTGAAGATGACACTGCTATGGGATGGTAAATGTAAAAATGCTAGCCTACAACCAGAAAAGGTATATTTTACCTATTGTTTGACACTGGAGTCCATTATAGCCTTGGGCACATGCACAAGTGTAGCCCGCAGCAAATGTTGAGTCCTCACTGCAGGTTCCACCATTCATGCATGGACTGATGCCGCAAGGGGCTGCAAAAGAGACAAAGTGGGGACTCACAGTCAGTATTGTCATGTCCTTACAAGTGTATCCTTTGTCCTCACAAGGGCATCGCATGTCCTCACATGGAATTCAGTCTGCAAAAAATAAGCTAAGTCATATGCTACTAAAATGAACCGCGACAAGTCATGCATTTTTTATGTGATCGTTCACCTTGTGAAGAAGGTAACCTTCATTACTCGCTGTTTGTATCAAACTTTCGGCTGGAAATTTCATTTACTTGCGACCAAAACTGGAGTGGATTCTATTGCACCTCTGCTTGACAACATTCAAGGTCAGAAAATGCACAATATCTGGCCATAATTCGCCCTCTGCAAAGTCAGTTCAATGTACCAAATATTCCACGTACCAATTTCACAGTTCTGACCACTGAATCCTGGTGTGCAGCTGCACGTGTAGCCTTCAGGTGCCACATTGTCTTCAATGCACTCACCACTGTTTCTGCAAGGCATGGCATCGCATTCTGCAAGAGAGAATTGAATCATTTATAGACTACTAAGAGGAGATGCTATAACTCAGTGTGGTGGCAACACAGCTGTGTGCTCGTGGCAATCGACAGCACTCATTTGGTTTTACTTAATGCACACGCACCACCTGTCCACGAGCATTGCACCATCACGTTTTCCCGATAAAAAAAATGCAAGTCACAACCCCTCAAAAAAAAACCTGCAACTCTACCTGAAATATTTTCTCAAAAACTAGTCTTGAAATGTTTTTACCACTACATTTCTACACCCTTCTAAAAAATGCTTGAAACCTGTGACATTAATGAATGCCTGTGATCTCGGCACCTGTCCAGTTTCTGGATCAGCTCCAAGCACATCATTTTCACACACGGCAAATTCAAATGCAGGCCTCAACCTTAAAACTAGACTGAGGTACACATTCTAGTAAAAACTGCTGTGGGTTAGTAAAATGTACTAACTTGCCTAATGGGCTTGTAAAGACAGACCTACCAGTTTGAAGTGGTCGCTCATCCTAGTTTTAAAGATGAACAATAAATGTTGTGGCTTTTGATTGTATTTGCTCTTTATTATTACCAGGAATTGTAACAGTTTTGAAGCCTCTGCTTTTAAGTTTTAAAATTGACAGCATTACTTAACCGTAATGGTGGAAAAAATAAAGTTGAAAAAAGCTAGTCAAGGTTAGTTTTGCTCCAAAAAAGTCCAGTGAGGAAGTGGGAATCCAGTGGGCTAGTGAATAAATAACTTGACTTGTCTGGAGGGCTAGTTAAAACACTTCAGGTCGAGGCCTGAAATGCAAGCTTTATGCTACTCTCCAGTGTCAAATCACATTATAGTTTTAGAAATATAATCACTACGGGACAGTTGTGGGGTGTCACAAATGTGACTTTGGGAAGATGTGCCTTTTACAGTTTGCTGGCTGGCAGTACTACAAAATACAACATGGTTTGAGAGATGTTGACCAGAAATACCAGACTGATGGCTGAGTTCATGTAACATAATTCCTGACGCAGAATTCAGTTTAAAGAGGAGCAATAATTTTGGTTTGCTTTACTCTCAAGATATATTGCTCGTATGGCAGTGAGAAGTTGTCTAAAGTGCACAAGCAGAGCGCATGCAGTGCAGTGCTGTGGTAGAGACCATTACACACCCAACACATACAAGACCCCCAGCCTGAATTCACATCACAAAGCTATTCCAGTGAACTCTAACAAAAGCATCCTTTGTTATTGTTTAAACTGTTACTTGTCAGTCACTGGCACTTGTAATTGGCCTTGTGTATGTCTCCAGGGCTCATGGTCTTGTATGCCATACCGTGGCTGGTCTTGTGACTGGTCTTGTGTCTGGTCTTGTGACTGATCTTGTGACTGATGTTGTCAGGTGTAATATCTGGTTGCATGACCGGCCTTGTGTTGCCATGGTCTTGTTGCTGGTCTTGTGACTGGCTTTGTGTCTGGTCTTGTGACTGGTCTAGTGACTGGCTTTGTGTTTGGTCTTGTGACTGGTGTTGCATTGTGATATGGTCTTGACTACCATCATGGAGCTCCATGCTATAATTAACACTGCAGTAGTTTTCTTACTGGGCTCCCCGATGATGAATGTCTGCCTGATCAGCCTGTGGTTGGGGGCTAGCTGACCACCATTTGATCCTGTCAAATGACTCAGGAACACCTGGATGATGGCAAATTCCCCCGGTTGTGTCGTGTGGAAGTTAACCACCATTTTAACCTGGGCCGTGGAGCTTGTGACAAGCGACAGGTCAGTGACCACCACGTCTCCAAAAGTACTAGCCAGTGACGAACGTCGGAAAATGGCCTCGGTCTAAAAGTAATTGGAAGCATGCAGGAGGAGGATGAAAAAAGTGCAGACAAATTCATCAGACGGGGCACACTCTTGCAACATCATAGGATCAGTGCACTTAAAGAGTACCACCAGAGGTAGCCATGGGGAGTCACTGTTGCAGTCTACTATTTTTCATGTACCAAGTTAATACTACCACATACTGGACTGGTAAGGTGTGAACAACGCTGCAGAACATAGATGTACATTGGATGGTAAACGCACAAAGGTATTATAAATTGATGACTTCAGACTAGTGTGGTTTGTAAAAAGTAAGTTGTAGGACAAAAAGCACCTGGGAAAAATTCGCTCTTGGTAAACAATCGACTTACCGCATTCTTCAGCGCCTCGCGATAAGTCAAGTAATTAGCAACAAAGTCAAAGCCAGTTCCCCCCACATTTGTGCCACTGATGACATCAAATACTGCCGAGGCATTGAAGGAAAAGGCCTCTGCAAAATGAGAATGACAAAGTTTGTAGAAACATTCTGTCCCGGTTGAGAGAAATATGGCACATCTATATCACTTCCTCATAGTTTTCAGTCACTTGTAATTTTGGAACAGTGGTGTGAAAAATTGCAGTAAGGGCCAGAAACTACCTGTGACTCGAAAATGGAAAGACTGATCAGGACAGACTCTAGAAAATGCTGAATGTGTTCACTGCTTGACCACTTTGAAGTGGAGGGAGATGGGGTGAATCACCCTCAACTTTACTGACAGTAGCAATGGGACAATTGGGAAAAGTTGAAATCCAGTTGTCTTGAATTTGAAAATTAAAATACACTTGCAGATGTTTTATTTTACAACAGATCTGTCCCAGGTGTGGTGCTATTATTTCGGTTAAAAATACAGAGTTTTTTTTTTTACAAGAAACCTCAAGGTCTATGATACTGGCCATCTGCTACCCATGGAGAGTTACACAGCTCCAGCCCCAAAATGCCCATATGCCCTCCATACAGCTAATTATAATTTACAGAATGACCGAAAAGAAATGTTAGATTTCTTCTACTACCTTGACATATGGCATTCTGTTCGTAGAATCCAATTTGGCAGGTGCATTCGTATGTTCCTGGTAAGTTGCTGCATTCTGAGTTGGCCTTGCTTTCGCATGGATTTCCTGCATCACACTCGTTCACATCTGCGACAGAAGTAAATAAATTGAGCAGATATCTTGTATGGCTGAGTCAATATGAATAGAGCCTTCAAACATTTAACCTTCAATGCAATCGAATATTTGAATATCCAACTGCATCAAATTACCCACAAACATGACAAAAGAAGAAACACAATTTTCCTATTTGTGCAGTGTTCTACCTTGTTGGGTTTCAAGAAAGGGGCCCATTCCTTATTTTAAGGAGGAGAGTAGTAGTCCAACTGATGTTGAATCCTACTCGGTGATATATTTCTTTAGTTGCAGTGAAGACCACAAACCACAAAACGTAATAAAGAAAAATTGAAGGAAAAGTAATTTTTGAAAGTTTGGCTTTAATATGCTCTTACTTCTGGGCACATGCATCGGTAGCCATACGCTTATCTCAACATCTTGAGAGGTCTGCTTTCAGAATGCAATTTTGCAACCAAACAGTTGACATTTTCCATTTGTTTTGCTGATTTTTTAAAAAGATTTCATTTTGAAAAAAGAAGTTTAATTATTAAATAATCAATAATTCACATATTCACCACAGCCCTAATCTCTACACATGTGTGGGTTTCACAAAGAGAAACCCATATAGATGTGTAGAGATCACCTTGACATACTCTATAATGAACCACCTGTATTGATAAATTGGAACATGCTAGAAGATAGGATATGGAAAAATCTCCTGGGTGGCTGAACTGTAAAGGACAACAAAGGCCTGAGATTCCCTTCTTCTTACCGTTACATTGACCCATGGGGTTCTTCTCATAGCCGTCCAAACAGTCGCAGGTGTAGTTGCCATTGACGTTGTTGCAGAAAGAGGTAGTTGTGTCACAAGAATCCAGACTTAGGGCGCATTCATTGATATCTGTGCCGAGGGTTGTAAAAACCAATCATATTAAACTGCCAATTAAATTGGCGGGGCAATGGGGACTGGGAGATGTGAATTCCACCACTGAGTTCTGCCCTACACCAGCGATTCATCTTGGGTTTTTTGCTCCTACGTGTTTACATATGGCTGCTTTGAAGTTCATTTTGGGAAGAACATAAAAATGTCTTGTCTCCAATTACGATGACATCAAGAGGTCCGACTCCCAGCTGGTGCCCAAAACAGTAATTCTCTTTCTTTTTGATTTAGTCACAACCAGTGTGGTGCTCTGAAATGATGTTCTCCCTAATACTGACACAATGATTACAGTTAATACAGCCCTGAACTAATTAGGCTGAACTTGTCATGAGTCAGGCTGTCTAAACAGCACTCCCAATACCGGGAGTGCCAGACTTTTACTCACTTCTATCCTTGGTTAATTCAAACACTGTTGCCTATATCAAAGAAAAAGTAATTCTAAAGGGCACTCGGTCAAGTTTCTTGGGAGTACTTTTGGAGTCATTCAAAATGCCATTATCCACGTGTTAATACACTGAAAAAATATGGCACTTTCACCAATCCCAATATCACGTATTTCCACTTTCAAAGGAGGAACATCTAAGCTCTACGCTTAATTAAAAAAAAAGGACCATGATTCAACTTACTATGAAAGAGATGCAGTCCTGGGTTAGAAACACTAAACATGCATTGAAATGATTTGGACTGGAAAAATAACCATGCTTACTTTTTCAATTATCTGCATTTACAAAATTAAGTTATGTGGCAATTATAACATACAGGTATAATGTGGGATACACAAACCTGCTCACAAGACAAGTCACATTTTGTCTTGCTGGGCCCAGAGAGGGAGCAAAGGAATCGATTCCTACAAAACAGGTTGATTCAACTTAACACCTGCCCAGCAAATTAACAGTGTTCACGGCATTGGGCCATACCTGTATTTACAGCCAGTTCATAAATCGATCATTGAATCACACAACAGTGTCACTGTAAAACATCCTGAAACAAAAAGATGTCAATGTGTTTACCATCGCACTGTCGACCAGGTAAACCATCATCAGAGGACACGTATCCAGCACTGCAAGTGCATGTGTAACTTCCATCGTTGTTTATACACGATGCTCGTCCAACGGCGCATTTATGAGAACCATTTGTGCACTCATTCAAATCTGCAAAAATGTGACACTCACATGACTTTAACACTAAGCTCGGGTCCGGCTTTAGTGCAGTCACTCATAATGCAATGCATAAACGTGGCAATTAAAGTCAATTCAAGGGAAACTTAACATTGTTATGACATATAGTGGAATCTTGGCTCAAGTCAAGTAAAATCTGTGATAGAAAGGCCAGAAATGTGCGTTCAGATGTCCACTTTTTTCAACAATCAAGTTCTGCAAACTGTACAGACGCATGAATTCTTGACCCAGTCGGGGCACCTTGTGTAAACCAAATTGGTCATAATTTCAAACGTTTGTCATCACCTTTGAAGGCTCTTAATTTGTGGCCATAATATCACTGTAAGCTACACCGGCAGAATACCTTCACAGTGTGTGCCGTTGCCTTGGTAACCGGCAATGCAACTGCAAGTGTAGCCTCCGAGTGTGTCCGAACAGGTGGCCATGGGGTGGCAGAGGTCTGGGTTCTCCTGGCACTCATCGATGTTCACACAGGATGTAAAACCATCGCCGCGGTAACCGGCCAAGCACATGCAGAGGTAGCTGCCCTCAGTGTCTTGGCATGTACTGAAACTGGCACAGACAGAGCCTTGGCATTCGTCAATATCTGGAGACCAAACACAGACCAAACCAATAAATTCATGAGGTTTTGATTCACTCTAGTCTTGTGTGAAACTGAAATACCTGAATTAAAAATGAACATGTCTAATGTTCATGTAAAGGGGGTTATAAGGTTTTACATTTAAAGTGGGACATCTGATTGTTTAGAGCTCTCATGGAACATTTTCAGAGACTTATGAGAACTCTCCACTTTCATGTCTCCAATAGTACATGTACCTAATTTATCGAAATTGAAAATGTACCCTGTTTAAGAATTCTGAGGAGGCACAGTGAGGTGGGAGGCTATGACAGATTCAGAAACTATTAAAAACGAAGATTGGCCATCGCCAAAGTCTTGTGTTCTCTTAAGGACGGATAAGAGAAGACGATCTGTTTTGTATACCTGTAAAAAAACAAAGATGCAAAAATGGGTGATACATGGTAGATGAACTCTCTTTTTAGTGCATGTATTTACTGTGGGCAAAAAAACCTGGACAAATTTTTTTTATGAAAAGGGCTTGGTTATGCATACCTGTGCAGTTTCTGCCGTTGCCTTGATATCCCATACTGCATTTACACTGGAAGGAGCCTGTGAGGTCAATGCATGCCGCATTGGGATCACAGCCGGCAAACAACGGGTCACTGACGGGCAGTGCACACTCATTAATATCTACAAGAGATATGAATATTGTGACAATGAACAGGATTCACATGTTCATTCAGAATTTGGGCAATCTGTGAATGAAAGCAGTAAAGGCTTAGGTCAACACTTAAGGTAATGTTTTTATATAGAACTGCGATGACTTCTAACTCAACCCCCCCCAACACCACCACAAACCCCAACCCCCAAAAGGGCGGGAAAGAAAAAAGGAATAAGAGAACAAACTTCTAAGACCTAAAATCAATACTGTGAGATGAATTCAATGCACAAGTAATGGTAGACGAAGGGTCTATAATGAAATTTTCTGCATAGATTATATGGATGTACACTTTGCAAAGAGTGCCCCCCTTTCTGTGTAAAATGATACCCCCTAGCTCCTTCCCCCACATCCCGGTAAGTTCTTAACATTTCCACAACCAGTGCATTTCAAGCCATATTTCTGTAAACCATCTCCTATGGAAACTTCCTTGTTACACTACTGTACTAAGAACAAAGTTAACGCTACATGTATATGTATAAATGTAGACCCTAAAATCTTTCAGTCATAGGCTCCTTTAACATGTTTAATGCCGTATTATCCCCAAAAATAGAATTTTAAACCTGACCCCCTTCAAATGGGTTCATTTTTGGTCTTTAGGGTAATCTGGGCTGAAAAGGTTAAAATGTCAAGTTTTAGTCCCGTCAGAGCAACAGTATTTGAGCTACGGACCACTATTTTTGAACGATTGCGGATGATGATGGAACAATTGCAACCAGCATCAGTCTGCTTTCAGAACATAGTCCAAACTAATTCCATCTTACCAAAACACTGGCGCCCATTGCCGGTGAAGCCATTTTTGCACTGGCAGGTGTAGGAGCCATTGTTATTGATGCAGTTGGCATCCTCATGGCAGTCATTCAAGGCATCATCCAAACATTCATTGATATCTGTGAATTAAGAAGGGTAGAGCAAGAGAGCGTCAATATACTGGTCTAACGTTATGAAAAAGTTTTATCTGGTTGCGTCATCATCACAGTCTCATCATTACACACCAGTTCTCAAGTGGCACTTCATGAATTAGGAAAATGTAATGTCTTTGCACACAGCCCATTTGAATAACTAGTGACTTGATGGGATTTTTTGCGATGAACTTGCAAGTAACGGGTGGGAAATTTTACACATACGTTTAAATGAAAAAAGTTCTAAATCCGTTTACAGATTTTCCCAAATGTTTAAACAGAACCGCCCCTTTTAGAGATTCGACGTTTGGATTGATGCAATCCGGTGTTCATTTTTACTGTAAACAATGCCTGTTACATACTTTTTTCTTCCCTTTCATCATCTATGTACATTTTGAAAAAAAGGGGATTCTAAAACAATAAACACTGCTTTTTTAAATGCCCCAACACAACATTTTTGCATTGGGTGGACCATGTGCATTGTTGAGCTATATAATTATGCATATGAAAACAATGAGGTAGGCAGTGACCTCTGTAAAATGCTGGCTAAATGTTTAAACAGTATGGAAAAGTTTTTGTAACTGTTTTTCAAATTAAATGTAAGTTCCCACCATTACGGCCTGCAAATAAACACACAAAGGAATGAACTTGTTACAGCTTGATTTTTTGGTTCATGCTCTGTGTTCCTGTTTCCATTTGGCCATCTCCAGAAAGAAAAGCTATAAATAAAGGAACTAACATATTCAAGATTACACCAAAGGAACAAGTTCATCCATTTTAAAATGGAGAATTTTATTTTGAGGTGGCAACAAGGCAGTAGCGTGCATACTGTTCTGGCTAAGGGGTTGTGTGGTGGGGGGGGCATTTGATCCTAAATTCCCCCTGTTGAAGTAAACAGCTTCTTTGCGGTGCCCAAGTGATTATACGCCTTGTAAGATCATGTCAGACATAAAATGGTTAGGAAGGTTAAAGTGATGGCTCACAGGGCTATCTAGTTGTTTGGTGTTGACCAAAGATCTGTGATCATAGAAACGCTTCTTGATGAGAGTGTTCTTACTCTCTCCAACATACTGAACACTGAATACCCTGGAAGAGCTACAAACGATAGTGTCTTTGGTTCTGTGGGTGGTACCGGAGGAATGTCCAGAGAATGTGTCTGACTCCAGGACGTGGTTCTGGCAAACAACACATCTGTTAGAATCACACTTGAATGTGCCTTGCTGGGAGGGGGGAGGGTGTCCAAGGGGTGAACTCTGCCCAAGCACGGACCATTTACCCAGGGATGTGCAACATAAGCTCACAGCTGGTTCAGTGCGTGTTACGGCCAGCACAATATCAAAGCAGAAATTAAATTGGATTATCTCTAATAATAAAACATATATTCCTGTCTACCACTTTGTTTTCTTGTGATATTTTAAGTCAGGGTACACCCTTTTTAAAAATATGCTGCTAAAGACATTCCATCCAATATATTCTGAGAAAAGTGTAAGACAAAATTGGGGAAATTTGCCTCATTCAAACTTCATTTCTGCTTGAAATCGATAAATGAAGAAGATTTATTCGTCGAAACAAATAGATTTAAGCACCGCGTCGGCACATCTTCTCGGCATAACCACGGCTGCACTGTACATGCTGCATGCTGCAACCTGTGTCATGTGGTCGCACTTTTCTCGAGAAAAGTCAAAAGCGCCTGCTGGGGTAATAACAATCCGTAACACGCATGGAACCAAGGTCGCACACGTGTTTGCGCTGGGGCCGCTCGCGGTTGCACATCCCTAGGTAAATGGTCCGTGGCCCAAGCAATCAAGTCCTGTAGGTTGCGAGGATGCCCGTAGGCCACAAGTGAGGTGTCTGGGATGGCAAGGAGGTCTGAAGTGTGGAAGATATGATGATTGTCACTGATTATTTTGCTGAGGGGAGGAAGACGCAGGCAGAAAAGTGGTGACCATTTGAACCCTGGGGATAGTTTCTGCACGGAGGGGGGTCTTCTCCTTGAGAGCAAGACTTTTGGGGACAGAGCAGGTCCTATTGATAGGTCTTAAAACCTGGTGATAGCTGTGGCCCCTTAAAATCAAATGCCTCTTCAGTTCCTGTGTATAACGGGGGAAATCTGAATCATTAGAACAAAATGCATCTCAGTCTGAATGCGTGACTGCATGCTATATACAGTCATGCAGTGTCAAGACCAGGTGACAGCTGGACGAGTGAAGATACTCATGCGTATCTGTGGTCACACATTTGCTCTCCTTCCAGATGCTGACACTGAAAACATTTGCCTGATGGAGGGAATACTCCGAAGTGAACTTAATTGTACTGTGGAATGAATTTATATGGTTAATAAAGATGTCTAGACTGCCATAGTTACTGGTCCAGATGAGAAACTACATCATTAATGTATCTCCACAAGATCCAAGGGCGGCATGGTGCTGAAGCAAGCATGTACTCGTTAAGGTTACCCATGAAGAGGCAAGCAAAATAGGGAGCCATATGAGAGCTCACAGCTGTGCCATGCACCTGTAGATAGTGTTGGCCGATGAAGGAGAAATTTTTTTTGGTTTGTACAAGTCTCTTGCGTGTCCGCTCTTCACGAGGGCAGAGCGCAGGCGGGAATACCTTCTTCATGTTTGTATATGGGGAAGAAACATCAATGGTCCCAATGATGGTTGTGCTGGGAATTTGTTCCCTCTTTCTCAAAGAGCACAAAATTAGACAACATCCATCTGATACAACAAGGAAACTAAGCACAAAATACACAACTTTTATCTTTCCTTCTTTCCCAGTAAAACCCCATCTAAGAGTTATTCTGAAAAGGTAACTGAGAGTCCTTCAAAACTGCTGACAGTGTTTCTGATTTCTCCAATTTTTAAAAATCCTAATCCTTTAGAAACCTTGGCATTCCGTTCAAGATATCTCAGACAAAATATTCCCTGAGCATCCTTTCTTGCCATGTAACTCACCTAAACAGCTTCCAACCTGATCCTTGGAGAATCCAGGTTTGCAGTCGCATCTGAAAAGGGGTTCCTGGTTAACACAAACCTCACTGATCCCCTCACAGTTATGTAAGTTCATGCTACACTCATCCACATCTAGTAAAACAAATACACACCAACTGTGTCAAAACTGATAAGATGAAGATGACCATAGGTGATAAACTTTGACAAGGCTGTTTTGACACAGGTCTGCGAGTTGCCTTGTTGAACTAAAAGAAAAGAATGGGGCCCAAATTTTACGGTGCTGCTTGCCGTTAAGCAAAATTTTCTGCTCAACATCACACAAAAGCTTGCATAATGGTATGCCTGTTTCACGGTGAACATTTCATGGTTGTGCTCAGCATAAAAAATTGCAGGAGCGGGCAGAGAGATTTCCTTCATTATTTCATTGAGTTAAGCAAATTTTCAATCCAACACTAGCATGCCATTTGCTGTGCTTACTGCTTACGGTCTCCATGAAATACGCAAAGCCCCTATCAGCATAAAACTGTGCGCTGAGCAGTTCCGTAAAATTGGGCCTAGGTGTGCAACTGGAAAATCATGAGGAAAATGGGAAAAATTCTCGCTGGAGAAAACTTGGTACTATGTTTATATCCTCATTTAGTGTTTACTGCAGCACACATAGGACATTTAAAAAAAGTAATGTCAGGAAATGGAAAAGTGTATATTTTGTGTGGGTTATCTTGCTTTTCTTTTTCTGCTCCCCTTGTTAGGGGAACTTTCCCACAGTCCTGACCAAGTATTTTTACAAACAGAATGTGTCAGTTTTCATTGTTTGGGAGATTCATCAAACTGGAGGTTGCAGAAACCTGGGAGAAAATCTGCTGATCCTGCTAGTTAGCAGGGTTACACAATGAACCTTCAAAGATTTGACCAATTGGGAAGTTTATATGCAAATCAAACTTTGAGGAAGGTTTGGTCAAACTTGCGAGTGACCAATCATATTCTTGATGGAAATGTCCATCAAGAGGCTCTAAAGGGCATTTAAGGGCCTATGCCAGGGTCAGAATTCAGTCTGCACCACCACCCAGCGGTCTACTGGTCAACAGCCTGACACTCAAGTCTACACAGTAGCCATACGGGGTGAGCTGTTGTACTTACAATATTTTCTAGTAGTAATCTACCTGTGTGTAACTTCATTTTTAAATTTATTTTGATTACTTAGTATTATAGACTGTGTTACTTCTGATGTTGATGGACTTGTATTGTTAGCTTGTTTTTATGATCAATCCTAATCATGGCATTCACATCAAGTTATTTTACAGTGTACTCTTTTCTCCATTTGTTCTGATTACCCCCTTATTTGGCACACTCGATACAACAATGTCCTAGTTTGTAATTAAGGATGATGTTAGGCTAAATTTCTGTTCTATTATATAGCTCAAGTGGCGACTGTGTTTGTGTCGAGGCAGATGTAGACTGTGGTAGGACAGAAGCTTAAGATATCCAGGTTAGCTCCAGAATTACACATATATTTATACTCCGAGCAGTATCACACTCTGACTTTTGCAACTGTTTTTACGTGATTTTGTCTGCCAGATTTCAAAGTTAGTCCATGCTCACCAACAGAGATTAAGAGGTTTTACTTGTGCACTAAGTCATTTTATGATGTGTTATGTGAAGACTGTGTCGCCCTAGATGTTTTGGTTTAAGGACACAGACTGTCTACCCAAGAGAGTGTTGTGTAATTGGTCACATTCCTGCAGTGGTCCAAACTGCTGAATAGCTGTCTTTTGGTTAGCAAGAACTCAAGGCTATACACTTAAACCACAGTGTATGACCTATGACCTTTGTACTACCAGTGTGTGTGCACAGTATTTGCACCATGCAGTGTGTGTAGTAAATGCTGTATTATCTACATGTAAGTAATTGTGTTATTTTCCTAATATTACAGGGGTCCGTCTGTTGACCCATCAAATGGGTTTGTCTGTCAAACCAATCAAATTGGTCCGTCTGTCGACCCATTAAATTGGTCCATCCACCTGTAGACCATCCAATCAGTCGTTGACTCACCGATCAGTATATCAGTCTGTCAACCTTATTTTATTGAGGAGAGCTTCAATAAAGATTTTGTCAGTTGTAGAGCAAAGGACAGAGACAGTGTCGTCATCAGTTAATTGCGGTCGTATCAGTGAGAACCTTGCGCTTGCGGCACAGAAACCTACCCAGCAGCCGGCCGGATAATACAACAGTAAGAATGTATAAAATAAATTTCAAACCCTAAAGTGGGATGTCTTCGTATTTACATATGGTCTGCGGAACATTTACTACTTTGTAGAGGATACACTCCATATGGCATTCATCTCATAATTGCCTTTGGGAACATGAATACTAAGGCTTGAAAGTATAAAAACGGTGCTATTTGACTACTGGACGCATACCTGCACAGCTTCTTTGGTCACTGTTGGGAGTGTAGCCCGCATCGCAGATGCACTCGTAACTGCCATCTGTGTTGTTGCACTTTGAGTTGGCACTGCAACTGTGCACGGACGTACTGCATTCGTCAATATCTATACAAGACAGAAGAACTGATCTGGAGTATGCACTTAACACAACCAAGCAAAAGCCATACTGAACAAATACTCTGCTCGCTAACTCCAAAAGAAATCAATAAAACGTTTGTACATACTTGTTTCTGAAATGATGTGAGGACCACACATGTATTGAATAGTGGTTACTCTGGGGACCGAAATATCATGAAGACACAGGAAGTCCCCTAAAATAAATCTTCTAACAAACACTAGAGTCTCATCAAGTGTGCCTGACCTTTACACTTATTCTGTGGTTATACCGACCACTTACATGATTAACGAGTTCCTTAACTGGGAGGGGGGGAATGCAGGAAAACTTTAAGAGCGACAAGTAATAAGAAAGGGAACAGACTAAAACCCCAGAACCCTACCTTCACATACAGCAGCATTACTAGTTGCATTGTAGCCACTGAAGCATATACACTTGTCTATTCCGTTATCTTGGAAGCAGTCACCATTTATGCAGGATGTGCTTGGTGAACATGAGGAGACAGCTGTTGCAAAACAGGTCAACAAGTAAGAAATTATCACCGTCTTCACGAACTGAAACGTAAGTGTGAAAGTTTCGTGAAAACAGCACTGTATGACACAATTCTGGTTGTACGAGTGGACACCCAGATATGTGTCCGCATACTGTTAACACCCATGTGTTGTCACAGAATTTCAGTTTTCAAAAACTGACATATGTGAGCATGTACACCTTTTGGAGAAACATGCAACAGTACTCCCGTCCGTTGATTTCCATAAAGCTGTGCACTGAATGCAGAGTTTAATTGCTTCAGTTACACAGGTGAAAGTGGCACATACCAATGAATATAAGCAGTGGGTGGTTGGCAATCCTTGCATTATGGTTTAGACTGTGGGGTAGGGACTAGTCTGTGACATGAAGATGTGATATGCTCAACGTTATTGTAATTTGTTTCTAAAACCGGTTCACTTGCTCGATCTCAGCCAGTGAAACCACAGTATTTGTGACAGAGGCAAAAGAAAACTAAGCATCACAGCCAGCAATGATCCCATGGGCGCGCTTACCGGTACAGCTTCCGTTGGGTTGCATCGCGAAGGCCTCACTGCATGTGCAGTTGTACGATCCCTCGGTGTTTCTGCAAATTTGAATGCAGTCATGTGTTCCCAGAGTACACTCATCAACATCTGCAAAAAACAAAAGGCAAAATGATGTAACATGCATTCAACAAACAGAGATTTTACCGACCTCGGTTGAAGGAAACATCACATTCCTTTCTAGAGGAAGTCAAACAGGAATGAATTTTCTACAACTGTTTTGCTCCCATAAGGGTTAAAATCAGTTTAAGAGTGGCTGGGTGAGTGGCTACACCACGGTGACTACCTGATTCTCTATGAAACCAATGCTGATCATCTAATTTACTCCTTGAAAATGCATATTTCTTTTCCTGAAATCACAGTCCACAATATTAAAAAAGCCAGAATTCACTGTTTCAGGGCCTAGTGGTGTGTCTTTATGGGTAGCGCAGAGACCGGTTACCATATTGGTATAAACTTGGGTACCAGAGTGTCCATAATTGGAGAATTCAAAGAAAAAGCAAACTAGGAAATATATTCAAATTGTCAATTATCCAAAACACTTGCCCATAATATGTGGACCGAACATCCTTTTCAAGAACAAAACTTCATCCTTCTAGGGAGGAAATCCTCAATGTTACATTAATTTATGCATAAACCACTGGCAATCTTAATATTGCTTCTCATCGTTTCTTTTTCGTTGGTCATGATAATGACCTAATGACAATAAGCTCTGAAAAGTTTCAGGAAGCAAAGCTTGGCTTCATGATTTGACCAGAAAAACCTATAACAAACTAAAAAAAGGATGTTGAAAAGTTTTTACATACACTGAAGAAGAGTATCAAAATGTTCATAAACTGCATCTGAGAAACATTCAATGCCTGGACTCTTTAAACCTCCTTTTCTAAAAAAAAATCTGGGTAATTTATGTATGTAAGTGGGTACAGGCACCCAGTGCCATCATTTGCAACCAACAAAATCAGTTTAGATCCACAGCCCTACATAGTCTCTGATTGTGTTGCCTCCAACATCTCATCAACATCCTAAAAAATTACCAAAACACTTTTAGAAGTGAGTATTTTTGAACATGTGGTAAAAGCAGTTAGCCACCCAAACCATTTCCTGATTTTCTTATCTTCCAAGTTCCTAGTTGAACAAAAAAAGAGAACAAGGTCACCTCACGATCTGTTTCAGCTAGCCTGGCAATGCACACAAAAGCTATTGCTGAGGTCAGGAAATGATTGATAATGTCATACCTGTGCAGTGTGTTCCATTCCCAGTGTATCCAGTCTGACAAGAACATTCATAGCCACCAAGCACATTGACACAGTCTGCGCTGACTGAACAATCATGGTTTCCAATCTGACACTCATCAATATCTGTTTAACACAAATACACAAAACAAATTTCAGATTTAAACACAAGATGTGCAAACACAGTCATAAATTGTGCAAAGAAACTAGATTTACGAGACGAGCCTAAACCCAGTGGTCCACACTTTGTGTTTGGTGTTAAAGTGATATTGGGGTCCAATTTTTGTTGCTAGTTCGGTCTGTAGTTTCAGCATCAAGTCTTACGCCCACAAACAACTTCAAACAAGAGCACTGGTAGTGTGGGAAATACTTGCACATTAATCATCTGCAAAAGCAGTTTAAATGATATGTGGTGGACACTCTGTCTTTACAGACCACCATTTAAAAAAGTTACAAAACAGGATGCGATTAAAGAACTGTGCAAAACATTAAGATATTCAGAAATTCAATGGATTACCGATATTCAAAGATTTATTTTTAAAATCAATTATTGACACGTAAACACAATGAAAATACAAAAGGGAAGATTTAATTATTAAGTTACAAAGTGTGACAAATAAACACTTGTGATAAATTTGATCAAATGAGAGATTGAATATTACAATATTAAATTATTCAAATCAGCTTGGGTTAACTTACCAATGCAGGACTTCCGGCCATCTCCACCATATCCAGGCATGCACTGGCATGTATAGTTACCAATCGTATTGGTGCACACACCAAGGGTGGGGTGGCACCCTGCAGTGCCTGAAGAACACTCGTCCACATCTAGCATGAGCAGCAAGGATAAAGAAAAGGAAACAAGGAATTGGATGGACCAATTAATCCACTAAAACAATCAAACAGTAACAGGTAAATATCAAGGAGACCAATTTTTGTTTGTGTTTTCTGTTTTAGCTATTTTAAAGGGCGACAACACACACATACTGCACACCAGACTCAAATCACAGCTGCTACAACTCTGAGGCAACTACATTCACTATACAGACAATGAAATACTTCTGAGAACAAGCTGGAGTACATATGTAGGCTGCCAGAGTGTAAGCGTTATACTTCTACTGTGACAGCATACAGGATATTCATGGTTTTCTTTTTTTTAATTTTATTTTTAATTTTATTTTTAACAAAGATGAACAGAGGCTCGATCACAATATTAGATACTTTAACAAAATGATTAAGAAATAGGAAAGAGCAAATTTTATAAAAAACCTGTTGTTAAGCTCTGATGTAGCTCCATCACTTATTGGCCACACAGATAATGGGCTGCAATGCTAAAAAACCTTACCGGGTGCAACTCACGATACTGAACCCATCAAAGGGCAGTAAAGTAGTGTATTGAAGCCTCGAGCCATAAGGCTGGCTTTAGGCACTTGTTGGAATGGAATTTCCCTGTGGGGGGGGGGGGTTCATGGTGATGTGGATCACTAGTGAATCTGGCAGTGCTGGGATGTGGATCCAACAGAGCTAATTTGTAAGCCTAAATATTTGCCCAAACAGTCTCCTCAATCCTCAAATTTCACCATGATTTTTACATACATGCTAGATGGGTAGGGTTAGGCTACGTGACTTGCAGCATGTTACAAGCAACTTACCTACACACTCCATGCCACTACCAGTGAAACCGGCATTGCACTGGCAGGTGAAGCTGCCCATTGTGTCAGTGCATGTGGCATTCAAGTGACAGACTGGTGCCAGCCTGGCGCATTCGTTCTCATTGGAGCAGGTGCGCCCGTCACCGGTCCAGCCTTTGTTGCAAGAGCAGTTGTAGGATCCCACAGTATTGATGCATGTGGCCTGTGCATCACACTGGTCAAGATTTCTTGTGCATTCATTCACATCTGTGGGGAAATGCAAACAATTTAATACCCATGAGCCACAGCAGCCCAGTGGTCAGCTTGGGGCATGGGTTGGCCGCCACAGTACCTTGGGGGGGGATGTCACAAAAACAGATTTTTTTTATGCTTATAATGTTTTACTGTTTGGAGGCCAGCTGCTACGGGGGGGGGGCCTGGCCCATCTGCTCCCCTCCCCCCCCACCATGGGCCTGAGCCACAGAAAACTCAGAATGTTTCAAGCAACTTACCTACCTGGAGTGTGTAGGTAAGTCGCTTGAATGGGTCTGACAAATATTTTTAGTGTCTATAGGTTCATATATAGGACGGGACAACATTTACCATTGCCCAACCATAATTTGATCTGCACAAAATCCTCCACTCCAAGAGCAGCTAGATAACAGGATTTCACGCAGAGAAAAACAATATCAACAATGCATTCTGGTTTCAAGAAATCAGACTTAAACTATTTTGTGGACGTAAAAGCTGCAAACTACAGTGAACGATTAAGTGCTGAACTTAAAAATCTGGTCAATATTTTCAGAAGACTGCATAATAAATTGGAGGAGTGGCCAAATGGTGTTTTAGGGGAAAATAATTACAATTTTGTACACATCCTTTTATGGCGTTCTCTTGTGTGTGTTTTCTTTCTTAAATTGGGGGGTCCTCATCTCCCTGGACCCATGAGCCAAGGCATTTATCTACCTGTGCATTCCAGTCCACTGCCTTCATAACCTTGACGGCATGTGCACCGGTATGAGCCGTGGGTGTTGCCGCAGTCAGCATTGGCATGACAGTTATTTGGGCCGTTGCATTCATCAATGTCTGCCAAGCATAAAAATAGTTGATAATTGTTAATTACACTGGTTGCGACTGACCTGTGAGCTTGTATTTAATTGAGCAAGGTTATGACTGACCAAAGAAGCATTTATGATCAGTTGCACATTCCTTGGTGTATCTGTTAGAGCTGAGTCAATTTGAATAATTCACGTTTTGAATATTCGACCTTCAATTCGATTGAATATCTGAATATTCAGTTTTACCAACTGGCAGATTGTTGATGATTAAGCCATATACAAAATCAGTTACAATAATGCACACATTGTACATTATAATCATTATAATAGCTTCTCATGTTTAGGAGTATCACAAGCCACAATTTAGCAAGATTTAAGAGAGGAACAATACTTCTTGCCATGTTGAAAATTTCTATTCCTTTTAAATTTTTAACATATGAATGAACTTTTGAGTTGTAAGATTTTCTGTCATTTTTCATTTGAATCTGCTTGAAACGAGCCTCCATAGTGCAATTTCTCTCATTAAAACAAAAGAAAATTCTCCCGTTAATTTTATGAACTTTTTATCAGAATATTCAAATTCGGAACATAATATTCGAATAGTGAATAATCATCGAATATTCGGCACAGCCCTAGTATCTATGCACTGGGACAGTTTAAAGATAGCTGTTTGTAAAGATGTCACAATGGTCACAAGACACCAGGCATACCTAAAATGAAGAAGGCACGTGTATGCTACAATCTTGGTTAAGTAACAAGAAGGGCAACAAAAACTATACAGTGTTTCATCAAGTCTTCACCTTTCACGTTGAGAAACTTGAGGAGTGTGAAACTTGTTGCAATACTTAAACTACGCATAACAAACAGTACAAGTTACTTTCTTTTGTTCATAGATGTTGATTTTAACCTTTGTTCTTCGTTTAAATTGTACATATTTGCATGACATCTACTCATTTGCATATGACCGTATGCACTTTGTACCTCTGACCTAAAGCAGTGATTCACAAATGAAGCTTCTGAGAGGATTATAAGGCGAATTTGCACCTATGGAGAACAAACTGGCATTAAAATGAACTCAAACGAGACATATGTCTGAAATCCTCTTGCACCTAAAACTCCAATGATCTAGCAAAACTGAAGCTTGATTCAGATGGTGTGGAAAGAGAACTGTGAATTCAACTTTACCAGATCATTGCATATGGGTATAAAGGCTACATTTGTAAGAACTTTGAGTAAGCATTGAAACAGCTGTTGACTGTTAACACTACAACCCCTCTCAATCCAACATTTTTCCCACCTACCTTGACAGGAAGTTCCATCACCACTCACATCAATAAACCCCGGATTGCAGCTGCAGTTATAACCACCAGGGATGTTGGTGCATGCAGCATCCTCAGAGCACCCGTCCGTCTGGAGATCACATTCATTGATATCTAATCATAATAATAATAACAACAGGAATTATAAATGAAGTACATTCAAAACATTTATAAAGGCATACATCCATGTTCCTGTTACATGTACTGAGGGTGCTACATCATTATTACCCCCGGCTCAACAGGCATGTAAACATCTGGGCTCCCTGAGGAGCATACTCCATGCAGTTATTTTAGGTACAAGTCGCTATCAAAAGCAACAACCATCTCCGCCCTCTCTTGTACTCATTTATACCCCTGGGTGGAGAGAGGCAATTGGGGGGGGGTAATTAAGGTGACTTTCCCAAGGGTCACAATATGTGATCTTTGGGCTATAGCTACTGCTAGATTCAAACCCCCAGCTATATGTTTAGGAGTTACAAATCCTAATCACGGTAGGCCACAGGTCTCCAGGCCAAAGAAACAGTGGCAGATGAAGAATAATTTCAGACATTGCAACCACAAATGTTTACTTAAACAGGTGCAGCAGAGGAAAGCATCCATTCATAAATCGTTTGTTACTATCATAGACGTATGTGATGCAATGGTGGAGTCTAGAACATCACGAGACCAGACTTCAGACAAGTCGCAAGTAACTCACTGAATGTATTTATCACAGTTCATTGGAAAATCTTGCGTTTGGAATCTAGAGCAGAGGTCTTGTGATAGTCTTTGGGGTTTTCTTTTTTAATGGTCTAAAGGAGTTTCAACTGACATAATGTACTCCTGAGGTGCATGCATAGAACCATGGTAAATGGCATTTGCTCTGCACAAAATGAGACAGATGAGTCCATCAGTTATACAACAATGATTAGGAGGGCGTGAAATACAGATTTATTATCATTCATATTTTTGCTTACACGTACTGTTCAGCATTTGCCTTTTTTATCCAATACCATTAAGTTTTAAAAAATCTCAAGGAAATCCACACAGACAAGGTCACTCAAAAGGTTCCTTTTTCAGTCTCTTTCAAATCAATTCAGATACCTTGACAAGTCATTTTCAATCAGAATGGATCAGAATCATTTTAATCACCAAATTTCAATCAGACAAATAAAGCACAATGCATGGATCCGAATTTAGGACTTGTTTCCCCTTTTTCCTCTTCTCAAAGGCAAACGCTTGGATTCAAAATATCCCAATTCATTCTTGCAGGATAGAGAAAAACGAGGTCAATTTCCCCTAATGACACCTGTCAAATTGGACCCAAGTTTACCCAGTGGCTTGGATACTGTGAGAGAGTGATAGGTTTTGATCATCACGATGTTCCACTACTCACAAAGATTGTCCATGCAAAGGTCGGTCTATACTTCAGGTGAATGCGGAAGTGAAATTTGAGGTCACAAACATTCCAAGCAGAATTTACTGTGGGTTCAACTTTTTTGCACTAAAAGGTTTTGATCTAACATAAAAAACTTCAATTCATACTCATATTTGTACAAAGAATGAAACGACCTCATCAGCACGGAGAAGCTGATCTGTGAGCCTACCGATACACTGTCTGCCATCCGGGTACAGCAAGTAGCCAGACCTGCAGCTGCAGTTGAAACTGCCCAAGGTGTTGATGCAAATCTGGTCGCAACCGGGGCCTCCACTGCTGGCTGGCTGATTCTGGTACAGTGTGCACTCGTCGATATCTGTCAGTCCATCAATCAAGTCACAAGTATGTCATAATTCCACTATTTTTGTTAATGGTTCAAGTGTGGTTTCAAGTGAAGGAAATCGCTGTGTGCAGTCATGCCAGCCTACACGTTTAGAGTGCCCTACAGTGATAACCTATTCCCTAAAAGAGCTGGAAGGAGAGGGGGCAGAATCATCCCCCTCAACATTTTTTCCACAATGCTTTTGTTCAGGAGTTGACCCTTTAGGTGTTTATAGGGCAACTCTTTGCAAGCATTCCGACATAAATTTTGTAAAAATCAAATATACCGTTCTTATGCAGCGTGCATTTTTCCAAGATGGGTCAGCCAAAAATGAACACTTTTTCCACGGCAAGGCTCAATGCACGCGTACTGACACACATGTACATGTAGCCAAGAACTTCAAATGAACATAAAAACACAAACATACATCTAAATGAGTTCAAACTTCACAGTTGTAATGATAATGAGTGTACAAATTTACATGCATGCCGAATTTCAAAAGAATAAAGCAAGGCACATCCAAGTTCTTGGGGGCTGTGAAATGGGTCAAAATAACCCAGCTCTTTTAGGGCTATGGAAGGTTGGTCATGATAATGATTATAGCATCTCCATTTGCTTGCATATCATCTAGGACTGTTCGGTGATGCTCTCTGCATCTCGTTAGGCTTTACACACTGGGTAACCTTCACAAAATGCAACTTTTTTTAAACTTACAGATGCTGCGGGAAATATTCAAATAGCGATAGCCTATTAAGATTCAAATATCTATTTCATAAAATCGAGTGCATTGGGGGTGACAATTCATGTAATAAAATAGAAAAAATCACTCATGTTTACAAACTTCAATGCTAAAAGCACAATTCAAAATGAAAACAAATGAACTTATATATGGCTTCACCAAAGCATAGACCCAATAACACGGGCAGTTTGCTTCGAGTTTTGTTCACAGTTTGTAAGAGTACGCCAATTTGGGACATCCAAATAATCAAAATGGAAGGTCACATATTTGAGTATCCGTTTGAATTGTTACAGCCTTCACCATAAATGTGGACTATACGCAGGGTTATGGTATAGAGAATGGTGAAATCAGATGCTTGGACAGACCTCTACATGTCTTGCCATCCCCATCCAGTCCGGCTGGACAAGGCCCGCAGTTGCTCTCCAGCGATGGTGGGTCCTCGTCAAAGCAAGTTACCCCAGGGAAACAGGGGTTGTCAGCGCAGGCATCAAAGTTGATCTCGCACAGCTCACCAGACCAGCCCGCACTGCACTGACAGAGCAGGACCTTGGTGAAAAATGACAAGGAGGGCATGAGCAATTCACACTCACTATTACTGAACTCAGCCAAAAAAATTTTACCTGTCTGAGCTGAATTTATTATTCTGTAAGGCATTTTGAAGTGTATAAAGTGTTCCTATTAAGTTTTTCCAGATACAACCACTGCTCGTTTTTTTTAAAGCTGAGCCTTTTAATATGTTTCATATAGGGTTTTGTATTTTGTGTTACCACTCTGAAAACTATGAATCCTGAAAAAAGACCATAGCAAAGCCCAGAATGCTTGCTGCAAATTTCAGGCTCCAGTGCTTGAAAGCAAACCCCCAGTTTGTTGGTGTGTGATTGTGGATTAACAGTAATTGTTTGGAGAAGGGATTAAAATGATAACGAGCTGGACTAGGAGTTGAAATGTCAACAAGGAAATGGAAGTGGAAATCTGGCCTCCCCCTTCAGTGGAGTGCTTCCCTCAAGAGTGGATATTTTAATGTTTGACACTGTTGATTTCAGACTCCAGGGTAATCTGCCTAGCACATTTGGTCTGTAGAAAGTTTTGCAGTTACAGGTGATCGAAATTGTGGAAGTTCATGTTCATGTATATAGCAGTGTCATTTTATAGATTGTGACTATCAGTATGGTTTTGGAATGATTGGTCACAAATAAGAACACGTGCCATGGTAAAAATAACGTGACGGATGAAGTATGTTTCATTCCACAAGGAAAGCCAAGCAAAATGGAAGAGATCAAGTTCCAATAACATGTACTTTTGCATCACGTCAAGATGGAGGTTGAATTTGAGTAGATGGAGGGTAGCTTGAAGAAACTAAGACAATTTCAGGGTTAAATGATGGGGGTTCAAAGTCAAAGCAGGTTCTTGTTTTGTTCAGAATTCATCAACCACACCCTGCACAATTACTCACCCCAAAGCGGTCTTGGACAAGATTGGTATCGGCCACATACTGGTTCTCCAGGCATGTCCCCTCATTTTGACAGTCGCACAGCTGAACGATTGGCTCCATTGTGGCATTGGCTTTGCCATCTGTGGCTAGGAATCCAATCTTGACCTTTGCCCTATCAACTGGTTTCCACGTAAACACTCCACCTGAAAAGGAACATATCAATTTTGTGGGCTACACTTATACATTCTGGTAACAGTGTCTTTTTCAGCTCCTTTGCCTTTTTTCTGAGAGGAACTATGCAATAAACAGGTGAAAAGAAATGAGTTCTAAAACCTTGCATAATTTTATGTGCATCATATTATTGGGGTCAAAAGTTGCATAATTGCTGATGTAATATCCTGGTGAATTTTATTTAACACAGTGTATAAACAAAACTACCTGTCTTTGAGAAAGAAGATGCAAACTATCAGGTCCTCTAACGATTCAAATAATTCTTAGGTGAAAACTTGTTTACACAAGAAGTCTCAGATGACAAAGGAGGCTTGGTAAGCTTTGCGTTATAAGAAACAGATGGAGGGGAGGGTATATTTTCAAATGCATCCAGAAATCCAGTACTCTTACTGACCTTGTGGTGTGATGGAGGCACCTTGGACTGATTCCAGCAGCGCAAAGGTGATGGCATCCCCATCTTGGTCAACCGCCTCCAGGCTCAGCGTGAAGACCTGGCCTACCACCACCTTGATGGACAGCACATCAGTCAGGGTTGGCGGGAAGTTGGCTGCAGGGGAAAACAAGATGAGGAAATGTGACTGAACTGTACTTTAACATCCAGAAAATCTGTTCGACAGATGAGGGAAACTGACCTTGAGTAAATCTCTGCTTACCAGCATGCTTGTGCAGTCAACAGCAAATGCAAGTGGCTTGGTGGGGGAGGGAGGATAATGGAAATAGAAGGCCTGCCACTAAACATTTATTTTATTAAAGATATTGCATGGACTAAAAAATTGAGACCTTTCTTCATCAGAGAAATACAGTGCAATACAGTGCAATAAAGTGTACTCCTTGCTTTGTCAGAAGTTTCAAAATTACCGCAATTTGATTCGATAAGACTTTTAATTTTCTACTTCAGGTGAAGCCTGCATACTATAGTGAATTACTTTGTATTTACATATACAAGTGTTTCAACTTAGCCCTAGAAACCCTTCAAGGCTCAGCATGATTTAAAAAAAAAAGGAATCGCAAGATGAGAAAATGAGAAAATGGCTCTGTCAGATTAAGTTAAACTGTTTTCCATTTAAATTCTCTTGTTTCTTCTACTTTGAAAGTTAAGTCACATGGGTTCACGGAAAAGGTACGTATCTGTCTTGGAAAACTTGCTTGTTAAATCACCAATTTGCATAACATTATTTCAAACGCCATACATACAGTGCACTGTGCATCAAATGCTAAGGTACATATTTTCTTGCAGTAAACTTGGTGATGCAACAAGTGAGTTTTGGTGAGCTATTAATGCATCTAACATCACCGTTTCTGGCAGGAGCTAATCAGTGCTATACAATGGCCGTCACAAGACTCACTGGCCAATTCTTCACTGACAGTATTCTGTGAATTCTGTGCTGACGACGCTGCGCCAATGCTCTCATCCCCAGTGGACAGTGCATCGTAGAGACACACTTTATTATCACCGCAGGTGCTCTCGGCAGCTTGGCGCTGGTCTGCTGGGGCATTCGCCAGTAGGTCGTCCAGGAAGACTGGGGTAAAGGTCAGATCATTCTCCGTGGCATAGCTCTCCGGTGGAACATAGTAGAAGAGTGAATCGGCCTCAGAAATACGCCCTGCAGGAATTCAGGAATTCAAGTATACTTTTGCCAGGCATACTTCTACGTCAACTGGGGAATGGTCTTGAAATGTCCCTTCTTGCAACATGTTTTGTTTCATATTTACCCAAACTCTACAGCTAAGAACCTGCAAACTCTCTCCTGAATCAACACAGGTGCAGGAATCAGGAAAAACTGTCTTTGAACTTGCACAGGGCATTCACACCCCATGCACATATCGCCAGCAGCAGAAAAAATGAGCACTAAGTAACCAGATTTAGGTTACGAGTCTTTGATATGGCCGGATTTTGTACATCACTAGCTACAATTTGAAATATGAATAACCACAGTAGGGTGCTGCGTTCCAGAGATATATAGACATTTGTATATGCACATTTTTGGACTAAATAAAAGCACTTTTCAAAAAAAAGCTCATGAATTGTCGCTTGGAAACACAATGCTATATAGGATTTCTTACTGAATGATCAATGTTTCTTCTTTATTCGTCAGTTTTCATGTCTGTAGTCACAAATTCTAAATATATAAATGTTATAGAAGCTATTACAGGAAAAAAAAAACAAAATCACATTTTTGAAGAAATTTTGCCCCCTCCAAATAGAACAGGCCATTACATGTTTTGGCATTGCGTGACTTAATGCCCTATTTTGCAGAGCGGGTCACATATGACACCATCTTATATCCGGGAAAATCATCCACATTTTTGTGCTAGATTTGGGAATATTCAAAGTTTGCCAAAGATGGTTGTTCTTTGTTCGGTGGCACCAGACGCTACAATCTGAATCATCTCTTGAGAAGATCCGCTCCCGTTTGGAATAATATTACAAATTTGCATTACAACTATAGTAACAGTCTGATATTATGGTGTAACAAGAAAAGGTTCCCTCCCTGGTGTGATATGGTCAATGCATAGGTTTTGAACACCTGCTAGGGAAGTCGTCAATGCTTCGTCAGACTGCATCACACTTCACAGACATCATCGGAAGTGCACACTCTGAAGAAAAGTAAGGTAATGGATGGCCTGCCAGTGAAGAAAACAAGCAGTACAGATAAACTTACAAGTTTCCCCAAACATGAAAAAGTCTTTCTCCAGCATGGTGCCACCAGCGCCCGTTGCTGGCTGTAAAGTGCCATCTCTTTTCTGGGCATCGTTACTGGAATTGTCATCCCAGAAACCTGATGTCACAAAAGACGAAAAATGAGAGAACTATCAAAGAGGGACTTAGAAGAATGGACAGTGCATGCAAACAACTGGGGATTTTGCTTGCTTTTTGAACACACAAAATTCTGTAGAAATCTATAGTAAATGACTCACACAAAGCTTACAATTTATGTTGTGCACATTACAAAGGCACCTTGTTTATTTGAGGAGTATAAGGTGTTAAATCTACAGAGTATCATAATTATTAAAAATCTTTAACATGTATATGTAGCCGTTAAGGCCAATTTATACTTGGTGTGGGTGCAAACATGAACACGAAATTGTCCGATGAAATATTCACGCCACAAATTCACAAAATTTAAACACGTTTCAACTATACTGGATTTCACTGTAAGTGTTCTGAGATGTCAAATTCACTTCATTTTAAATGTCCTGAGGGACCGAGCAATTAACTTACCAAGCAATCCAGTCAGCTGTCCCTTGTATTTGTCGTCAAAGTTGACTGTGATGTCGGCAAAGCCGTTGCTTAGCCCAACGCTGAATTCCATTCCGGCAGCATAAACAGCCAACACACGCCCCCCTGATCTCTTCACGATGAAATTGCCACTTACCACTCCTACAGGAGAAATCAGTATAGGCCAGAACACAGCTCTGTGACATTAAGTCAAAATGGAACCGCAGATTCATAAAAGACCTAAGCTTGTTTTAACTCCATCAGACTGAGTGATTCTTGTTCACAATTTGTTTTGCATTTACACCTTTTTAGATTGGCCTTTAGGGGCACTGTAGCAAGTGAGTCCAGCCAAACAGGCTACACATTTGTCACATGTAACCAGCCACCGATGGTGGACTGGTTGTTAAGTCTAACGTTTCCCCCTTTCCAAGTGTACGGCTACCCCCTGTCTAATGTCCAGTAATTAAATGTTTGGAAGATCTGGAAGTTATAATGCCCAAGGGTAATCCTCATAGCTGGCCTAACTGGTTCTTAAGTGGGATGTCACTTCGATTTAAACCACGCCCACTGCATATGCACTGCACATAGAGTTACATGCACTGATCAGCACTTCCAGAGAACCATGGGAAATGGAAGTTACAATGCACAACTTCAGCGATTGTCCAATGGGAGCCTGTAAATTGTGGCACATCCACCATTGTTACGAAGTCACTTATGAACTGGATACACTCAAGATAAGGGTCACATTCCCACAGACTGTTGTCATGGTTGTTGCAATGGGACCAGATCCATTAAGTGCCCTTCCTATGATCCTGCGAACCTCCCACAGCCCAATTTCATAGACCTAAAAAAGGAATTGGTAAGCTTCAATTTCTATACCTTAGACTGGCATTATTGGCATCTTTGGATTGAGTCAGTAGGAACATTCAGGAAAATCAAGTAATTTTGCTTATTCTCCTTTCACGTGCCCTGCAATTGTGATCTGAATGGTCATGATTTAGTTTGGGATGGATGTGACCAATTAGATGAAAAGATGTTTGTTTATTATGTATATAATGACAAATAATATTTGCGTAGTATGAGTGTTTATGATTTACACGTAATAATTAATTTGCCGATATTTACCCTACACTAACAGTCAACGGTAAAGGCCAATTTAGTTTAACAGTTTGTATATTTGAACCTTCAATCTTAAAGTTGGCTGATGGAAAATTATGGAAAGTGAGTTCTGTATACTGAATGCTGCAGGACTGCACGACATTCCATATTGATAGCTGTTTTAGCCATGAAGTTGTGCTGTTCTTATTTAGTTTTTACAAGTAATTGATATGTCATTGTTATTAAACTTGACACTTTACGATATTCGGTACAGCATTGATGGCTCAAGACTTAAACAAGTTAAATAGTTTTCTACTGTGAGACTGGGTACTTTGGATTGCCAGTAGTACAGTCATTTGCCTGTACGTTTAGTTTTAGTTTCCTCTTTACTTTTTTCCCCTTTTTTGTGTTATGGCCAATTTACCAATTCCCTCTTTTCACTGTGTACGGAATAAAACGACTGCACAGAGCTCAAAGAACCTGTGCTGGTCACATACACATCAAGGAACCAGTGGTGAAGAAACCATCCGCTCAACTTGAAGAACATAACTCTAACGAGCTACAGGTGAAAAGATGCACTCAATTGTGTCACAAGGCATGATAAAACAAATGCACACTCAAGTGCACACTGAATGCAGTGCATTGCACTTTTCGCTCAAAAACCTTTGTAACAACTGAAGCGGAGGTAGGATTTTTTTAGGTTAGTAAAACTGAGTTTAATTGTCAATACCTGACTCTGTGGGTGTCACTATCTGTCCATTGAGTGTTGTGGTTAGGTCAGTGGCATCGCTGTTCAGTTTAATCTCAATCTGAAAAAAAATTGAGACAGGAACAGTTACACAAAAATTCAACACCTCGTATCTCAAGATACGAGGTGTTTATCCTCGTATCTCAACCTCATAGAAATCTACATGCCAAATTTCTACGTAAAATACATTTTCATGCTATTTTCTCCCAGAAAATACATTTTTTTCTATTACGGGAACTATTTGGACTGTGCTACTCTATTTCTTTTTTATTGATATTTTTGAAATGACACACTATTGTAAGTTTATTTTGTACTCAAGTAATTTTCTTGCCTATTTTTCTACTATTTGACTTACACATTTTTCCAAAATTCGAAAGCTATTTTTGGGCTATTTTGGGGGGTCAGGAGTATGCTACCTTGCTTTCATGCAGGGAAAGTTAAGCTGCCCACTGCAATGGGCTATGTAGCAGCATAAAATGCTCCTTGTGACCTTGTACCATATTTGAATTCAGTCAGTTGTGGAAGTTACAACACACAGCAAGGATGATGGAATAACTGGGAACAGCATGATTGAACAACTGGGAACTTCACCATGTTTAGCTCAATGTGTGTGTACATACCCTTTTGGACACACTTGTTTGCATGGTTTGCACATGAATGAACTGTTGGTTTACACTACAAAAGACTACATGCAGATTGCATGCTGTGTGATACATGTAGGTACAGTCGTAAAGTTTTATACATGTACATATGAATCATTTGATAAATAGGTCCAACCTAATTACATGTAGCTTTTCCAGATGGTACTGGTAAAAACATTTAACTGTACATGTCATTCCCAAGATGCCCAAAGATGAAATGTTTTGGCTAATTTTGCGTATTTAGGAATTACGCTTCCAACTTATCAAAGTTTTGGCATTTGAATTTTCCTTTGCAAGCATAAATTCCATCTTCTCCATTTGCAACGGTACATGCATCTGCCCTGTGCATGTATCGTCCAGCAACTCCCTGTACATTTTCCAGAATTTTGCACGTGTACACAGTACAAAGTGTGTACATAATACGCATACTTTCAGGAACCGTGCAAGGGCAAAAGGGTACCATGCATCCAGCTGACCAGCAAGGCAAGCTTAGCTGAGAGACTGACCTTGATATTGCCTGCAAGTTTTTTCTGTAAGGCCACAAGACCTGTGCATTCATAGTGACATATAAGACTCTCAAGATATGATAGACCTTTCACATTACTTGCCACCTTGGAAATCAAAGAGAGCCAAATTATTACATGTAAATGTGAAGTCTGAATAGTGTACCATAATAGTGAATAACTGACTCTAGCTAAGTTACAGACGACTGACTTATAAATGGACGGGTGATAAGTTGACAATTCCCTAAATCAGTTCATTCTTGGCACAATGTATTGTATTTCATTGCATTTAAAGAGGGACCTTTAAAGTGAACTTTCAGAACTATTTCAAAACTAGCATTTTTGAAAGAGCATTTTATTTTTTGAAAATAACATCCTATTTTTTAAAAATACAAGACATATTCTAATTTTTAAAACAGCATTTCTATTTTTTTCCTATTTTGGGGGTGGCAAAATACAAAGGAATAAAATAGTAAAAAAAACTATTTGAATACAAAAGAAATAGATTTTTTCTGCCTTTTTTCGACTAGTCCCTATACTGTCAATTACCCACAAGTACCTCATATTATGAGTGAAGTCTTGGTTTGAGTCTCAACTTGCAAAAGGTCACTTAAATCTCAATATACATGTATAGGGGCCAAGTCTACTGTAAGAGTCATTTAATTTGACAGAAGACTTCCTGCTCTATGTTATGTTTTTTACAGTGAGGGATTTTTGTTAGTTTAAAAATAATTTTACATATACAGTTTCAAAAATTTGTTAAATGTTAGAATGACAACAGAGGTATCAAGAGTTGTCTTCAAGACTACTGGGTGATAAAAAGTTGTTCACACACAGACCCCACAAGCAACTCTCAGAAAAAGTCAATCCATTATACTACTGGGAGGCTTCTGATATAAATACAGAGGAAAAACCCACCCTCGCACCGCCAACAAGCTGTGCAGCAAAGCCAGAATAGAACGTGGCCTGGGCAAGTTGGCCAGTGTTAGTATTCTCGGCACGGTCCGTCCGGCACTGCAGCTCAAACAGTTTCTGGCTGCCACCGTCAACTATCAGAGCCAGCGTGTACTCGCCATAGCCGTTGAACGTGTATGGCACTCCATCCATCGTGCGGATGTGGGGATCCCCAACAGACCAACCTGTTGATCGGAGGATTACAAAAACTGATTTTGAATGCAAAGATCAGAATCCAGAGGGACAGCAAAGCTCATCGCTGTAACATCTCCTACATGATTTTTTCTCTTAACTAGCCAATTTTATCTTATATCGAATACATAATTTTATTCACTCTTTTTGGCAAGTGATATTGCAGAATATTGAATGCTTCAAGCTCCTGCGATGAGCCACAGAGAATTCTATTATCCAGAGGTGAAGCCAAAGGAAAATGTAATGCTCCATGGACCACCAAGGGAGGCTATAGTTTTTACAACATTATGACACAACAGAGTCAATATTGTTTTATCACACCTCTTGAACAGATTCTGTTTGATTTAAGTTTTAACTGATTAATTCAATCTAAATACATGTAAAAGGTAGGTCTATTTGAATACAAAATAAGTCGAAAATTTACCAGCATTTTTCCAAACTACATTTTTGAAACCACAAATAAGACTTTTGTCCTTACTAAAACATCTTTATTGACAACTCTATACTGACTGCTCTGACTTGTGAAAATCAGTGGATCATCTTCGGCCGGGAAGCCTGATCATCTGTTCCACTTGATCAAAGTAGTCAATATTAATATATTGTAAAAATTATGCCATGTGACATCTACCCCAGGAATCGGGAACATAGTTATCACAAGTCAGCAGAGGGCGCCACTCTCGGTACAGGTTGCACAGGTTGGATTCTTCGCAGCAGTAATAGCGGGGCAAGATCTCCTCATCTGTAAAGAGGGAATTTCCTGTGAGTGTTAGTAACTGGTATTAAGTTCATAATTTACATATCTGCATATTTATTGCCATTTCTTTGATTCACCAAAATGCCCTTGTCACAACAACTTCACTTACTTTATTTTTCCCAACAAATATTTGAATGTCTGACAGAAAAATTGCCAACGTCATTGTGTCGTGATTTTTATGCCTGAGCGAGTGAGAAAAATGGTGACACAAAGAATATTCTGGCAATGCATGAGATGAATCATGAACTTAACTTTGCTATGTGGAATAAAACATTCAACCTGATGAAATGACTCTTGTTGATAAACTTATAAACATTATTTCTATAAATTAGGGGTCCAATTTCTCTGTGTCCGTGTCACATCTGACATACAATTTTGTAACTTCAAAACACATTCTATAATCTCCGAGAGTGATGAATTATATAATTAATGCAAATTATCTGCCAAACAAATATAGTAATTGTTTAAATCAATTTCAGTGATATTTCCAAGTAAAATTAAAGAGGTCAGGTGTAACAGGGACACAAAAATGTCACACTTTTTGAACTGAAACGTACAACTGGCATTATGTATGTACCGCCTTCTCTATAAATCCTCAGTGTGTTTCAACAGGTCAGGCGGATCCAGCATTTTGGAATGGGGTGGGGGCATACACAAAGCCAGACAACAATCTACTCATCAAGGTTGTCATTCTGGCTTTATGCCAGTGAGTAAATTCATATAACTACTTGAGAGCAAAAGAACAACAGAACACAAAAAGCCAAGAGCTTTTAAAAAGTTACTGGTCCGTGTCCAGTCGTTCATATAACAAGGATAAATCAGGGCTGGATGAAGCACTCAGCACCAATTCTCCACAGGCCCGACTTATGCATCACCAGAAATGTTACAGAGCTCGACGTGCATGGTTGGCATTTGATCTCATATTTCCTGTTGTTGTTAATGCTGTACTTACAGGCAGCTCATTTTAAGCTTTCCAAAAGTCAAACATTCAAAGAAGGGCACTGAAATGTATGAAACCTTTCTACGTTTGCGTGTTTTATGGCAGATGTGTTGTATTTTTGTAGGTCACGATTTTTCCATTGGCCCGAGGCACACTGCCCACTCGATAATCCCAGCCAGCCTCTAGTCAATTAAGCTTTAACTCACTGTACAGCTTTTGGAACAGGTCAGATGTGTAATCCTGGGGACTCAGCGGGAATCTTTCAAACACTGTAGCAACACGGGGACTTCTCACGTCACTCACGAGACCACCAGTGTCCAAGTTGTAGCAGCAACGTGGTCCCGGTGTCCCCGAATCATGGAAAGTCAGGACGTAGCACTCAGCATCTAAAACGGAAACATCGTCACGAAAAGTGTGGAAACAGCAGGACTGGACCACCTGCTTTAACTGCAGGATGCCAACTCAATCAGCATGAACCAGAGTATTTTTAACAAGTGCCACCAGGCTTGCGGCTACAGGCTTACCATGATGAAACCTTGTGCTTGCGTGATTAAATGCCTCTTCTATACTTCCATGCTTCAGCAAACTAGACTACTGTTTGAAATGCATGCATGTGCCTCCAGTTATTAAGTGTGGCATGTGGTGTGAGTAGGATTCTCATAGAGTAAGTAACAATGTCTTGCTGTCTGCAAAGTGTAAGGTATGGTGTTCCATATGTGCCAGTCGCATTTTTCGACTGGCGTCGCATTTTTCAACAGGCGTCGCATTTTTCAACGTGCGTCACATTTTTCAACGGGCGTCGCATTTTTCGACTGGCGTCGCATTTTTCAACCGGCGTCGCATTTTTCGACGGGCGTCGCATTTTTCAACTTGCGTCGCCTTTCAATGTGAATAAGCCATTAATCATCAATGGTCAACCTTGGTCCAGCCGGACCTGACGTTGTTGACGTGGATGCTAAAAGTGTGCGTACATATTTTTAATGATTATGGAAACGGATAAATTAGCATGTATGCGTCGATTAACTGTTTGTAAATAAATTAACAGCCCTTTAATGAACCCGATTACTCTTGGAAGTTCACCTCGCTCAATTTGGTTTCTCACTTCTGCAAGCTTTTTGAGTGAAAAATGTTCCCGTACTGATGATTACTAGTTGCTACAAAAATCAAACCCAGTATAGTAGGCCCATTGTTCACTCTGGTTGGTATGGTATTTGCCATCTTGCAGACATGCTTCCCGAGGGAGCGTTTATCGCAGTACGGTCTATAATTTAAATTGTAACTACCCTTGGCGAAGAAATGTCACGCACCATAACTTAGAGAAATTTTAGTTTTTCTTGGTTGAAAGAAGTTGTCAGCAATACAAAATCACGAAAACTTTTCCAAAAACACTTTTTGAACCATTAAAATCTGTCCAGAGGAAGCCAAGACTGATTTTTTTCTCACACATTGGATGTTGTTCAGGCAATGGTCCGTGGTTCAGGCATTCCCCTGGTGGAGGCCGTCTGGTCATGGGCTTGAGATCATTCATCTCTCTTTATTTGGAGGGGGGGGCTTATGTTTATCACTCAACGAAATGACTTCCAAAGGTCTTGAGGACTGCATGTGGATTGGTATGGGATGGAGGGGTACCCCCCTTACCTGTATAATCCGTATATACACTCCAGACTATTGTTACCTAACACATCCCCCTTAGAAGTCTGTAAAGAATTTCTGAGATTCCGATTAAACAATGACCAACACAAAGGCAGGGGTTCTCTCCGTCCAATAACTGGCTTCAAATGGGCTGTGTGGAGGTCAAAGTTAAAATTGTTCATTGAAAAATGCGACGCCTGGTTGAAAATGCGACGCCCAATGAAAAATGTGACGCCCGTCAAAAAATGCGACGCCGGTTAAAAAATGCACGCCGGTTATAAAATGCGACGCCGGCTAAAAAAATGCGACGCCGGTTGAAAAATGCGACGCCCATCGAAAATGCGACGCCGGCTGAAAAATGCGACGCCGGATGGCACATATGGAACACCATAGTAAGGTGAAATCAAGTCTAAATAATTTACCAAATGATTCATGCCAGTACGCAGAATCAACAATGAAACTGCATTATACATCAATGACTTGGAAGAGGACAATTACTCTGTTAACTGTGTGTGGGGAATTCTATACATCTAAACATGCAGTCCCTGATGAACTAGTTCTAAACAGCAATTGCAACAATTGTTCTTATGTCTTTGGAACTGGGCAGTTACTCCCTAAAATGAATGGTATTCCATGTGCATGTAGCTCTATGATCTTTCCTTCTTCAAAATCACTACATACATGTATGTTTGAATTACAATCTCTAAGGGCTTTTTCACAGATATTCCCCAGGGGATTATATAGGACTAATCCTGCCGGAGGAATTATCATGGGTTTTTTAGGCCCTGATCTCCCATGATTGCAAAGAACAGACTATGCAACACCCTATGATTATCTGTTTTCACTGATTACTCAAAAAAGTCAAGTTTCCTGGGGCACTTCAAGGATGGCTATATAATCTCACTTAATGGGCTGGAAAATCCATGGAAAAAAAGTCCAGGAAAATTAATGGCAAAATGGTATGCCAAAGGATTTTTTAGGGGGGGAGGTGATGTTCACAGTGTCTTGCTTACCGAATCCCAGGCTTGTCGTGGTCGGCAGGAAGTAAGTGTAACTGGAGATGGACTCAAACTGCGAGTCTTCCTCTGCCATCTTCTGACTGCAAGGGCAGGAGTTGTTGAACTTCTGGAGGGACTCCGTCAGGGTCTCGTATGGTGCCTGGTTGCTGTGCCAAGTCCGACAGAAGAGTCGCGGGTTGACAAACTCCGAGTCAGGGGAGTCGCGGGAGTCCAGCTGGTAGGCCCAGCGGCCCTTCCTCCTCGTGTTACCGACCACAGTGCCGGGACGGAACTCTGAGCCACTTGCAAGGTTGAGGTAGGTGCTCCCACCAGACTGCCCACAGGTGAAGCCCTGGATCACGTTCCTGTTGGCCAGGAACGTGATATCCCAGTTCATGCCACAGGGGTCATAGTTGAAGACGACAAAGCTATGAAGTCCGTCAGTCAAGAGCACAGCTTGGAAAGTGTTAGTCCCCTGAGACAAATTTTAAAACTTATTTTAAGCACCCTAAAAATCAAAGTGTTTGTAAGCTCTATTACAGCTAGGCAACAATTTCTGATTCAATATTCAAATTCATGATAGATGACTGAACCACTTATAATGCAATCATTTGCTTTTTTGTATTGTGATTGATTACAATTACAAAATTAGACACATTGAAAAACAATTCTTTTTTGTTTACTTTCACTACCAGCATGTGAACTTTGACCTTGATGGCAGATGGTAATATCCCAGATACTATTCTGATTGCCAACCACTGGCCTGATGGTGGCTTAAGGCATGCTTAACTAAAGCAATGTCAGCATGCATCAGGACATACCATGAATTAGGCGATGGCTTGATACACATATCAATTCTGGAGCCAAATGAGAATAGGTTTGTCTCAGCCCATGTTTGCTGCAAAATGGTGCTCATGATATGGAAGCTTTTCATAACAATGCATGTACTGAAATGCCAGGGTCAGTGGTGTACACACATTGTAGCTATAGGTACACAGCCTATAAACACAAGACATAGTTCATTTGCTTTCAGCGCTCTCTTGGAACTATGAGTACACCTGGGTGTCTCTTTAGAGATTTTACCCTATACAGCATTGGCCCCAAAGTATTGGGAGAAACATACCTGTATGTTGGAGGCAGATTCAACATTGCTCCAGGTGACAACTAGAGCCCATTCTGCTGCAAAGCTGCTGAACTCTGACCCCAGCAGGCCCGAATTTGCAGAGACAAGGACACTCAGTGCATCTAATGTGGTCTGATTGACCTCTGCTTGGTACTTGTCATGCACCTTCACAAAACGGACAATTGTTTTCTAGAGTTACTTGTTCGGTGCATGATCTTAATTTAGAAGATATTGTGCAAGAATACAATGGTCTTAATAGCACAAAAACATCCAAAAATAAACACAAAATGAGAAAAAATAAATTCACCTACAAAAGAGGCAATTGTTATTAGAGTGCTCATTTGGAACCAGGTATATAGTGGCCATCACCACCTGCTATAATCAGTTACTGCAGAGACGTAAATGTAACAAATTAATTTCTCTCAGTGAAATTATATGCCTAGAAACCCAATTAAGTATAATACAGAAATGATGATTCAGAGTTCAAAAACAAAGTATATTTTTAGTCAGGCATCATCTTTGTACCATTTTTCTCACTTTTCCTTGACCTGTTGTGTTTTCATATTCGTCCATTCTCTTCTTGTTTACACATTCACAATAATCATCAATTCAGGATGGTTACCTACAACATTCCTCCATAGATTAAGAACACCACATTTGATCGAGAGTATCCTACTCTTGATTAAATTAGATTACAAAATTAATCACTCTCGATTAGCTTAGGATACCAACAGATTCAGAGATACTTGTAAATAAGCATTTGTCTAAATCCTGTAAGGATGAAGTTGACATAATTTTGTCTTTTTTTGCTCATGAATAAACTTCCTGTCAAAAACCATGAATCATAGCTTTAACCCAAGCCCCATCCCCGAAAAGAAACTGATTCACAGCATATGCTTAATGGCGCACCACAGTGCATAGCTTCTAATTTTCAACCCTTTCTCTCAACATCCCCCAAGCATTACCTGCCAGAAGACGTTACTTTTGGATGTGAACGCACTGGCCTGGTTATCGGCCCAGAAGGCAGCTATCACCAACGCTGCTCCCTCAAAAGAGCTACTCAGCGCACTTGAGAATGACAACTTGTTCAAGTTTTTGTCATTGGACAAAATGATCACTCCATTGTCAGTGAACTGTACCAAACAAAAAAATACATCCTATAATTTCAAACAGAGGCACAGAAATGATCAATTCTGATGAAAATTCAGTGCTTCCAATTTACAGCATGAATTTACAAATGGTGGCATGTTCACTAGAAAGTAACTCACATAAATATTCTCGTAGAGATCTTTGCAATAGGGAAAGAAGTTGGGCGGAGTGAATGTTCGAGAAACGAGATCCTTTGAATTGCCCTGCTGTGCTGCCTGTTCAGAACAAAAAAACAAAGAGAGGAATAAATGTCTGTTTTAGATGTGATGGCAAAATTGAAAAATCAGAAGGGAGTGAAATTTGGACTAAATAAAAAAACCACACAGACTCTGGTACCTATGTCAAGAAAAAGGGAGGTACTTGGCCAAAGTCCAGTCAGCATGCAAGACATTGGGCAAATATCAGTTTACACGACACCTGAATAAATCAGTGACCGGTGAATTCATCCCAATGCATGACATGAGCAGAAACACTGCAAATAGGACTTTACAAAACTGTGAAATGGTCCATTACGGTCAGATAAAAGTGCATGCCTTGCAGTACTTTGCATGGTTAGGTAAAGGAGGTACAGAAACAGCACAGCTCTTAACACAGAAAAAAAGGCTAACAGTTAAAGATACATGTAAATGCAAAGCACCAGTCCTTTTAGCTAATGAAGATATTTCTGAAATCATAGCATTGAGTACTTGAAACTTCCAATAAGAAATTTGAGAAACCAAAAATAAATACACTATCAAATAATAAGAGCAATTTAGAAGACACACAGGAATATCTGTCAGTTGAAGAGACTGAGACATGAACTGATTCCTACATGTAATATGATAACTTCAAGTTTGTTGACATTTCACGCTGGAACGAGTTAACACGAAAGGAAAACGGCAACTTGTACACAATGAGGATTTACTCAGGGGTTATATTTATTTATAAATGATATATATTTGAGAAATGACATGGAAAAGCTATTTGAATTTGAATTCGTCCAATCAGTTACAATGGAGTAAATGCATAAATCAAAAAGCAGGTCCACTTTGGGGTTTCTTAAATTTGGAATGTGTGTTTTGCACATTTTATCTAATTCCAAGTTTTCAGTGCAATCAGACATTTGAAAACATCATTTTTGGGTTAATTTTCAGTAGGCTCTTATTCTGAAACAAAGATGCCAAGTCTCTCATCTTGTGAAATGGCTTTTCCAAACTCTGTTGCTTCAATGAATTACTTTGTACATTTCATACCACTGGAAAGTGACAGATCAGAAAATCACCAAAATCTTCAGTTTTCAAAATCCCAACTCCATTATTCACCAACTTCATCATTTCATGGACGCATATCTGCTAGCAAGACCAAGAAAAGGTTAAATACTATCTATCATACACCTGCTGAGAAGACTTACATTCTGCGGTTCATTTGAAAGCAGTGAGTCTCCAAGCTCTGATCCAAAGGAAACAAGGGTGTTCTCTGCAAATGCAAAAAACCAATACAGAAAGAGCTTCACAATGATGTGAATAACATTTCAACTGGTGGTCAAGCGTGTGTAGAATATAGGGTTGGAGGCTTTACAATAATTATGAATGTTTGCAGTAGCAGTTCACATTATTTGATGTATCCTAATTTAACGGGCATGTAACACAACACAAGGGTACGCCCTTTCCATGTCACAGTGGACGGTAAAACTGCGATGGGATGTCAGAGTCAATGAATAAATCACAAAGTGTGAAACAGCTATCATAACTGCTAGCGAAAGACCAACAAACACTAATTCTCAGAATTACATGGAAAAAATACCCCTCGGGACGGAGTAACTGGAGCAGATGTACCTGTACACTTCGAGGTGAAATGTTTAGTTCCTTACTGTACAGGAAAAGTAGACGTATGTATGCCATATGAGATTGGTCTCCTCAAGGGCTACTAATTCATCCTGAAGATAGTGGCGACTGTTAGGTTGTCTACATGTACATGTTTCGTCAATTAGACCAAAGCATCTGTGCAGTGCCAATACAGGCCTATCTGTTATGATACTAAGACAAAACTGCACTTTTCTTTATTCTTCCTAGGTTGACAGTAATCATTTCTGTGTATTTGACAGGATGGAAGTGGATCTTGTGTATTTCAATTTTTTAGTGGGAGAATCAAACATTAACTGGGTAAACTTACCAAGAACTGTTTACACAAAAATTCCATCATAATGTGTAGAAGCCGTCCATTTTAACATTTATTTAAAGTGTTGTTTCTCTAACATCATAATGTGACTTGTGCACATTTAGTGCGGTTTAAATGGACCAAAAAAAGACTAAACCATTGCCGTTCTCTAAAGAAAAGGGGGTAAGGGCTCCTATTTCCATCCGTAGTTTAGTTGAGGATGTGTAATTATGTCCGTGCACAGAGGCTGAAAGGGGGTTCAAGAGTTTAAATTGTACGTAGGTGAGATTGCTTAAATACATTTTTCACTCCTTTCCTTTCAGTATGTACACTTATCACAGCATGACAATGAGACAAACATTCTTTCAAAAGCACTGATAATTAAAGTATACAGCTCATTTTAACATCAGGAAATGAACTACAGGTACTTACACTGCTGGCTTTTAATCTCATAAACTTGAAAGTAAATTGGACTGTTTACAACCACTTTCCTCCAAAGACAGAAAAATTACCTTACATGAATCACCCATTTGGAGCAGACCTGGTTTTGATCTGGCAGTTTGCATTCCAATGTTTCTTATCTAATCAAAAGTTAATGAAGGGTGAACAGGTGGTTGGTGATGGCACTGTCTGTGAGTTTGCTGACAACAAAATCTACAAAAGTCCACTACTAGATTCTTGCTTGTACTGTACTAAGCATTGGGAAAAGTGCCAAAAGTTACTGGGGGAGCAACTTTGGAACATACAAACCGAAAAATATATCCTGAAAAATGAAATAAATACAGTTCGGTTATTTTACACCATCAGCAGGTCGCAGCCAGTGTGCAGTTATTGACAGGGTAATGGTCATACTAGCCCTGGGGGAATTGGGCGTCGGGTGATTGTGTATCTTATAATTACTTACTGCTGATCCAGTCTGGATGAAACTGGTGAGTAGCATTCAGCAGTTCAAAGGTTTTGACTGATGGAAACTGTAATGTATTTCACTTTCAATTGACAAAAAAAATACAGATTGTTTGGAGGAGGATTCTTTTCCTCAAGATAGGTGATAAGCCTACATGTACAGCTCATAATAAAACTTCAGAGGAATTATTACCCGTTTCATTCATCTGTCAAGCATTACATACCTGTCACTGTGATGGTAAAACTACACATCCCATTGTTACCAGCCGAGTCTTGGGCTGTGCATGTTACATCTGTTACGCCTACGGGATACGATCCACCAGAAACTACTTCAGCATTGTCGGAACCACGACAAACAATGGTTTCCAAAACACCCTCAATCTTGTCAACTGCACTTGGGGACTGTGGCCAGTCAATAACAGCACTGCTTGTGTCGGTGCATGCATTGATGCTCTCTGGGCATTTCACAGTTGGGCCTTCGGTGTCTATAATTGGAACAAGAGCAGAAATCGGCTTAAAAAAACTCTATCTAACAACTTTCACTGAAATGGCATGAAGAGGTCTATCAGCAATGCTGGACTGGTGCACTTTGAAATTGATCTATTGTGTCCATATGGCAGACACGACTTACTACCTTCATAAGATCATGTAAATGGAACATTGTTACATTGACATTAATGCTAACTTATCTTAAACAAAAAATTATCACATCCAGTAGAACCCACAAACACATTTTAAAGTCTACTGTCACCATCCCCCCCTTTATTCATTTTTTCAGAAGCCATTTTGCTTTGGAATGCCCCTCAGCAAGGTTTGCCTTGGTTAGCAACAGCCAACAACAAAAAAAACTTTCTGCTTCCAGTTTCCCGACCGACCTTAATTTTTCGGCGCAACCCTACAATTTTTACTGGCAAATTAGAAATTTTTTTTTATTAAATAAGAGAAATATAAATAAATATAAATCCTGTTATCTTTTCTCTCTCTACAGATCACCCCTAAAAACCCTTTTTTACATTAATTATATATCTTCCTGCTGAAAGGAAACTTCCGTTAAGCCTTGTTTCCATAGTGTATATAGACGTATTAAAGAAACGCAGAGGTCGCATTTCTGCGCGCGAGCTCATTATTTTGTGATCCCATGGGGTTACAGAGTAACAGAGGCACTGGCCTAGGTGCAGCAAATAAATGAACGACAAATCTTGTTTCTTTTTGTCTTCACAAAACACCTCAGAACAACCTTTTGATTATTATGATGTTTGTGTTTACTTGTTTTCCCAGTTACAATTGCAACAAGTGACAAGCAACCTGTATTAATTTCAAAAGTTCTCTTCGTGTTTCGCTATTGCAATAATAAAAACACGTGCGCAAAACGCCGGTTCCCGCCTCGCCGCACCCATGCAAAAGAATGCGTGATGGATTGTGGCAACCAGTCTATTCACCCTGCGGTGATCGTACATGTGTACGTGACCTCACGCATCGAAAAAAGCATTGATGTTGCAAATATCTTTAATTTAATTTACAGAACTTAGTTTCTTGCCTCTGTGTGTATTTTCTGTCTTCTGTTGTGTCGTGGGTTTATTTTAGATTGTTTGCTTGTACTTTAAGCGAGCATGTTTCCACAAAACTTCCTGCCGCAGCGCACCGAGGTAATCTTCGCCCGGGCACGAGTCTGGATGCTTTGACAATTACCAGAACGATGTGTACAGAATTGTGTAGGCCTATCGCTTAGAAATAAGCTTGAAGAGGGTGAGAAATAAACCCAACAGGCCTAGTCCAACCATGTGTATTAATTCACGTAACATGGACAACGTAGTCGACGTTAATTTCGTGAATGCCGTAGAGTTTTCTAGAAACGTGTAACTCCATGCTGCTTGTGAAACTCCTCTCTCGACCATTTTTAAAGAGGTTTGTGCTAGCTTATAACACCCTCCACCATATGGACGGGGCGAAGTGGGAATGGGGCAAAGTGGGGATGGGGCGAAGTGGAAATGGGGCATGTCTGTGTGCTGACTTAATTGGTATTGCTTTGCTGAATTGGAAGCGCACTGCTTGCATTGTTGTGCATTAGTTACATTGTTGTGTATTGCTGACATTGTGGTACATTGTTTATGCTGTACGTATTACTGCTGATGCAAGCAGGGTTGTTTCACTTTGTAATTAAAGGGCCCTG